TATTTTGATAAATACTATGCAAATTGTAGTTAAATTCCCTAAAAAAAAATCAAACCAACCAATCAAACAAAAAAGTCAAAAAAAAACAAAAAACAAAAAAACCCACAACAAAAACAAAAAAATACTTCTGAATTAAACTTACCGAATTACTGAATTACCAAGGTTAGAAAGTTGCTATTTGAACAATTTGGGTTCTGATTTCTGATTTATGCATGCCATGCAGAATTTTCAGATTCAATAGGAAATATTGTGTCCAGTATTTCAATCATATAAATGCAAATGCCTTTTGCACTGGAAAAAAAATGGAGACAATGAGACACATTGACAAACACGCACATCACCCACAAGAGGTTTGGACCTCATAACTGGGATCATGAAAGATTGTTCATAACCAGACATACTGTTCTGCTTTGCAAATTAAGAACAATCTGTGCACACCTGGAAGATCCTTTTTTAAAATATTTTAAAATATTTACATTTATTTTTACATGTATAAAATTTAAAACATTGAAGACACATGAGAAAAATTATGTACATCCAACTCTTTGAATATAGAGTGGTAAGGAACTGAATGCCAATATGCTGTGCTATTATACCATTTGCTTTCATCAGAAACAATTTTGTGACAAAATGTGCCTAATGGTAGTTAGCATCTCCAATACCAGAACAACTGGTAGTGGTAGAGTGGGGAGAAAAGTAAGAAGACATCAATGGTAATTTCTTATACATAAGATTGAACATACAGCTGGATTTTTAACACATAAAGCATGCATGCATACATATATATATATACATATGTCTATGTATGTACGTGTATATATATATGGGAGATACTGAAGGAAAAAAAAATAAAACAGGATGCTCTGTTCCACGCCATGGAAATAACTAAATAGTTTTACACTTAGTTACCATGAAAATTCATACATGTACATAGTCAAATGTTTAGGTTTCTCATACTGTACAGGAATTTTCATGTAATTTTACTTCTGCCATTTAAGAATAGTTACAAGAGTATGTTTTAACCCTTTGCAGAAATGCCTTATTTATTAATTGATAATTAAATAATTAAAGGAAAAATAATAGATAATGGCACACAGTGTGCTATGCACAATAATTGTGTATCCTCAAAAAGAGAAGACTTGTAGAGGGTTTTTTCTCCTTGTAGAATACTTGTACTTCATGGTAATCATCATGCATACTGCTTCTGGCATTTGCTCATGCACATCAAAGTCTGACCTATTAAAACTTACATACTGTCTACTTCATTCCTGCAACTGAGCAGAGCTTTCACAGATTCTATATAGCATCTGTGACTTATTTTTATTGAAGCCATTAAAAACTATGTAAATATATCCAATGGAATTTTTTTGGCCCTTCTAAGCGATATGAAAAATGATTCTCATATAGAGCTTCTTTGAAACAACTATTATGAGTACTTCTGTAAATAACAGTTATTTGATGGTAATGTTCTATAGAAGAGAATGGTACTCAAGAAAATTATCTTCTTCCTCTTTGCCCTAATAGTTCAATATATCAACTAATGATACCATGATAACATTATGAGGCAGGCAACTGTCTGAAAGCATTCTTAAAGTGACTTAAATCTTTGAGTGGTTCCATATATCAGTAAAAATGTGTCGTCTTAAACAAACAAACAAACAAAAACTCCATAGTTTTGCTTTTAAGCAATGCTGTAAGGACATAAACCACAAATATATATTCCAGAATTGTAATTAAAAACAAACAACAATATGCTTAAATGCATCTTCTTGTTGTCTTATATATGACTTTAATTTGAATGCGCAAACTAACAATTTAATTGAACTCAAAATATCCAGAATAAAAGAGAATAAAAGCAATGACCATTTTACAATATATTCTAAGTAGAGCCTTCACTAATACCATGTTTCAAGCATCCATCCCTGTTGACAATAAAAGCTGTAAACGTGAAAAAAATAGTAATAATTTTTAAAAAGAGTCCAAGCTACAAGGTCAAAATCAACAGTTCTATAAATGGAAGAGGGTCACAAAATTAGTCTTTGTTTTGTAAAATATTTTTGTAGCAGTTCTATATTGATAGAAACACATAACAAATGGTGTCCTTGGAGTCATAGCAAAAGATCTGTTTTTGCCTGTTTTGCTTGCTGAGTTTTCCTATTAAGTTCAATTTGAATCCTATCTTCGTAGACCCTCAAGCATTTTCTAGAAAGGTATATTTTTGGAGTTTAAGCAGCTAGCATTTTCAGTGGTATTAATAGGATTAATTCATTAGAAAATAGCTAGCCCATTTTAATGTTTTTGTTTGTTTGTTTGTTTGTTTAGCTAAACAACAGTCAAAACCTTGCAGAAATGTAATTTAGTCTATGATTTCTAGTTGTATTAATAAGCATTAACAGCACTACTGCAGCTATAACACTGATGAGTCTATTCCCTCATCAGTGTCACTCACATATCTTGTTTTTTAGGTATCATTTCTACTAGCACTGAAGAGCTAGTAGTACTGACATAGCAATTGTTTTATTCTCACTATTGAAAAATCAATGAAAGGAAGCAGAAAAAAGAAAATTCGGCAACACAGTTGTCTAGTACTGAGCAGTGTTGTCCCCATGGATTTGGAAAGTGTTGAGGAGGAAGACTAAAAGACGAAAATAGACCGGTTTTCTTTGCGTCCATCCAAGCATTTCCCTTTTGAATAAAAATCCAATCTAAACTGAACTCGATAAAACCGGACACTTCATTAATAAGGAAATTCCCACAGAAATGCATATAACAATTACCAGTTAATGCCCTGAAACAGGAACCATCACTTTATCATGTTAATGTTCTCTCTCTCTCTCTTTTTTTATTATTATGATAGAATCACAGAATGCTTAAGGTTGGAAGGCAGCTCTAGAGGTCACCTAGACCAACCCCCCTGCACACACAGGGTCACCTAGAGCACGTGGCACAGGACTGCATCCAAGCGGGTTTTGAAGATCTCCAGAGAAGGAGACTCCACAACCTCCCTGGGCAGCCTGTTCCAGTTATTATAAAAACCTGTACAAACTCATCAATTGGGAAAAAAAAGCTTTAAAAGCCATCAAGAAGAAAATAAATAAATAAATAAATAAATAATAAAGAACAAAATAAAAGGTAGTTTTGAGACATAAAACGGAGAAACATGAAGATTGTCTGAAATGATTAAAAACCTTATTTTTACTCTTTGGTTCATATAAAAAATGTGCATATAAGAGGATAGGCAGCCATTAGAAGAAAATAAACATAATGTCAGCATATAGAAACACAGCCTAATGCAAAACAAAGACATCCTAATAGATTAGGTGGACATTGTGGGAGCAAAATATCTGTAGTTTATAAAAATGATTTGGAAAGGCAGAAAATTACAATGTTTCAAAAGGTCTTTAGACTATTAAGATATAAAATCTAGAAAAAAACATTTTTAGAAGAAATATTTATTTATATAACTGAAATTAATGCTATTTATGGGAGATCTGAGTCTGCTGTGTTTTCCACATTGTGAATCAAAGGGATTATTTAAAAAAAGAACTACTGTACTACATTCATAATCATGAGACAACCCAGATTTTGCAACTGGTTTCTAATTAGTATAGAGAAACATAATCTCCAAAAAAGAAAAACAGTATACTTCTGTGTTAGAACATAGTATAGCTTGTGTCAGAAAATGAAATGCTCTCCCACCCTGAATATTACTGTACTGCTGTTAGAAGGAGATATATCTTGAAAACAAATCCCAAGCATGAAGCCGTACTTATCTTTGTAATGCGAACAGCCTAAAAGATGTCCACGAGGATAACTTTATTGACTAGAACGGGAATTTCTCCCCAGAACTGCTAGTGACAGAGGACTGCATTAAGTGACAGGTGCTGTATTAAGGCTGTGAATTGTTTCATGATTTTTCAGCAAGGCTTTAAAGAAAACATTTGGTATGCCTATTTTCAGAGCTTTGACCTTCCTGAAAGAGGAATACACCATATACCATTAACAGTATTAGGATTCAAACTGATTCAGCTGAGTAGACAGAAAATATTAATGTCAGCTGTAGGGCCAAGGCAAAAGCTCAATATATCTTTACTGCCAGAGATGATCAATTCAAAACGGAAGCATAGCTGACACTAGTATATTTACTATATGAGATTTATTAGATTGAATGGTCTAATTTTACTTTACTTCTACACATTCTGAATCCCCTTCTTGCAGTACTTGTCCGTCATAAATGAAAAATCTTAAATTGGCACCCATAATCAGGCAGCATTGTTCATGTGCAAACATCAAAAAAAAAAAAAAAAAAGATTTCTTTTATCCCTCTTGAAATGCAATGAGGAGATGTCAATTTAAATTAAAAGAGGCTCTAAGATATCTTCTGGCAATGCTTTGTCTGTTATATGGTGCAATGAAGTAACAGGATCTGTTTTCCAGACCTTTACAGGCTTCTAACATGCAGAAGATCCACTAAACAATATGATCAGAGCCCACATGCTTAAACTGAATATAGAATTAAGACAGAGCTACAAAACTGCTTCTTTGACTGTCACATATTCAACAAAGCCCCAGTGCAGCAAAAGGTTTGTCTTTCCTGTGCATATTTTGTGCAAGCATTCAGCCTTCACCTTTGATAGACTCACTTTTAATACATGTAACATCAACAAGCATGTACAATCCATAGTGAGTAAAACAATTTTGTTCATGTAATTTTAATTTTACTTTTCTTCAGACTGCAAAGCAACAGCTTAATCATTAAGCATGAAAGGAATATTCAGACATTACTACCTCTTCACTTCAGTAAGAATCATTTCTCTTCCCTTGATCTGCATGTCTAAGTGAGAAGGCCATAGCCCATTTGAAGACAAGACCTTGACAGAAAAACGCTATAATATCATCTACTTTTCTCTTTTAAAAATTACAGTTCAAAATTGTTTAAATGTACTTTGATGTTTCTGCAGTTGAAACCCTCAGAGCAATGAAACTGTTCTTCCATTCCCTCCTGGTCCTTGTGTAGCGTTGTCCTTCGGTGCTTTTGATTATCCAGCACCGCAGCACATGTTCCTGAAAGCAGTGTCTGAACTTGCTCCTGTGTATTCACATATCTATTCCTATAACAGAGTGATTGTTTTCTTGTTCACTGACTGTGAACAGTTTTTATGATTGTATAGGGCATAAGTCTTTAATCTGTCTGATTTTCAAACTTCTCAAAGTTTGTGATCAACAGAGTATTCACTGCGTAAATCCTATTTCTCAGGAAGTTACCATTCTTGTTGTCTGATAGAAAAATAATCATTTCACAGTCAATAAAATCCTAAGCAGTGCTGACAAAGTCATGGTTGCTTAATGACTACAACACAGGCACCAGCTCTTCCAATATTTAGGGAAGCCATCTGCAGAAAAAAAAAGACACAAATTAACTGCATAGAAAGAAGTCATGCAAGAAACGGAAGAAGTGAGGTGTCAACATTATTCTTGAATGGTCAACATTAATGGGAATATAAAAAAGCTAAAAATAAATACAACCCACTAATATCCTAGTGCTGCACTTTTAAAATTACTTACATAAATCTTTCAGTTGAAAATGTGAGAACAGAAAGAATGATTGAAGAATTGTCGCCAGCTAGTAGCACATTGGATGTGGATTTTGTTTCTATGCATAGAATATATTCTCAGTGGAATTTTAGGCAAGGAATTTTAGGCTATTACCTCCCATTCTTAGAAAGTTTTCTCAGTGGAATTTTAGGCAAGTGTACTATTATTGAATTTAATTGTGAGCTTTGTGTAAAAGTGACGGGTTTCAGTGAAGATCTGCACAGTAGATATCAAGTTTTAGAAATATTTTAAAAATAAAATACAACAGACAAACAAAAAAAGCTATTACCTCCCATTCTTAGAAAGTTTGGTTAGAAGTGGGGCAAGAGAATATTCTTTCATAGTGCATTACAAATCCTAGGAATCTGTGGGACTTGCATTAATTGCTCTGAATACCTTTCAATAAATTTTTAAATATTTTATATTGTTTTATGATTGGCAAGATAGAATCTGCACAACACAAGCTCCTGTGATATCTGAGTAGAAAATATCTGATCTATTATGTTCTAAGATTCAGCTGTACAAGACAGTTGCTAAAAACAAAGCAAATTCTCAGATGTGGACATCAACGCTGAAAATTTCAAAGATAGGATTCAGTTGCCTAAACAACCTGTGTGATTTGGGAAGTCCTATGGCATTCAAGCCATTTGCATGGGACCTAGGAGCCATGGTGAGCCAGATCCCGCAGCACCTCACAAGATATAGATACTTAGAGCTGAAATCTAGCAGTTAATCCCTTGACTTTGTCTAGATTACTCTTTTCTAAATAAGGGCTTGATTATTCTGCTGCCACACAAGACACACTCAGAAAATACTGTTTCAAAATTACAGGAATACTAAACATAAATGTCAGAAGAAGAGCTCTTCCTTTTTGCTCTAGGCTGTTGAAAGAGAAGTGAGATAGCCTAAGGTGTCAAATACGCTAGATGCTTGTGCTGGGCAACTTAACAGAATATGAATTGACAGCATTGAAATGACACATTGAATATGAAAATAGTTTAGTCACCTAGGACAAAGATGGAGAGCTATATAAATTTAGATGTTTTCATTTGAAGCTGAATCTCACCCTTACTCTCCCAGTGAACCCTATCCATAAAGTTGTCAATATGAATCCTAATATTAATGGTAATTATAGTATATTATGAGCTCCTATCTGTTTGAAATTTTTGAATAACACCATCCTTACACAATGATTAAATGTTAACCAGAATTTTAAAATAATGTGTTAGAAGCTTAGTATTAGGTCTTTGCTTTTCCTATTTAAGATGCATTTGAACCTTAATGCATAGAGACCTTAAATCATACATAATACCTCAAAAGTTATAACAGTGTTCAGTATAAGATAACATCACAAAATCTTGTTCCTAGTTAAAAAGAAAAAGATCCCAAATGTAGGGAGAAAAATAAGAGTTTGTAGTTTAATTTTACAAAGGAAGATCTAGCACATAACAATTTTGTTCAAAGTCACAGAGAAAGCTTGTCACAAGCGAGAAAGAAATTAACTTCTCGGTTTTGGTGTTACAGTTCAACTGCAAGACTATGCTTTTCTGATTCATTACCTTATGTCAGTCTTTGATGTATTGTTGGACATCAAAGAAGAAGTAAGAATTCTTCCTATAGAGACATTTTATTTTTAAAAAAGGGAAAATGATGGTAGAGTAGAATGCAAAAGTGAGAAATAAGTAGTTGCAGAGATTTATAATATTTTTAAATACATTGTAACATTTTTATTTAAAAATTCTCTTCGGTAGTTTTTACCTGCAGCAAAAGAAAAAAAAAAGAAAGCAAAATTGCAGGCATAGTATGTAACAGGAAAATTACCTTTAAAATGTTTTTTCATAATATTATTATTGTATCCTGCTGATCTACTATAATTTCAATCCATGAGAAGCGTAGGCGTTATCACTGCTTTTCATCAGTGGATAACGAAGAGCATCATTACACTTATACTGTCTTCTTTCATATGTTCATTTAGAATTGTAATTATTAAAACACTACCTAACATGCTAAGGATGAAGTGCAAAGCATGGGTAAATGAATATATGCATAATTAAGTGTTCAAAACCTAAAATGCTGATGCCAGAAGCCAGGGTTTTGTCCTTCATTTTCCCTCATTGAACAGGCCGGGCACAGCTGACAGTGAAAAGGTCTTTCAGGAGAAGTACTAAGGCTCAAGAGTTATCCAAAAACCATGACCCTGGGTGACTTTTCAATCGCGTGGTCTAAAAGCTTTAACTCAACTTTTTAGCAGTTGCTGTTGTATCTTTTGTTTCATATTACCTACTTGTTGTATCTGTAAGAGAGGAATCTACAATGCAGTACCAGTGAAATCAAGACATGGGCAGTGGCCTTTAAATCACTCTAATGGGAATAATCAGCCATCTCTGAACAATTTATTAATCAACAGTTTATCAGTTCAGAGATCAGTCTGTTTCCCCGTGGCATTCCTCAAGCTCCTCAAAAGCTTAGTTGCATCCCTACTTTTCTTTTAAATCTTTATCCAGTACATACTTCATTATGAAGTAAGATACAGTTCAATCTAACAGAGGCTGAGTCACAAGGAATTTTATATCTTTAGCTTCCTAGAGGATTAGTGGAGAAATACCTCTATCAATTTTGAATTCTTTGAAAAGAGAACAAGCTGCTCACCCTGAGGGAAATTTTAATTTGCTTTCTGTAAATAATGCTACTTTAAATTACATTAACGTATAATTAAGTTTTTTGTGGGTTATTATTTATTCTAAATACTTTTCAGTTCCTGTGAATTACTGTGAAATGACCTGATTTGTGATTATGCATAAATATACCTCCACAAAAAAGTATTTGTCAGCTTACAGAACTTGTCTAGAGCAACTTGACAAATTTCCATTTACTCAGGGATCTTAGAGTAGGAAGAGTATTATACCTAGTGTTGTAGAAGTGTCAGGTTGAAAAAGAGGTGTTGCATGTTAACTGTCTAATTGGTGTCCAAATGTACTTAGTCATGTTGTTTATGCGGACTAATGCATTCTGGAAAATAAACTTCTTATATGGATTTCCCATATTCTATAGAATGTCATAAAAATATTTTTTGACATTTAATTAAAAAAGCACTTTTTCATTAACTTTGCATCGTATATGTTTACATTTAGATTGACAATACAAACTGCCTTTTATAATCATTAAGAGAAATAGAGATATGTGGGGTGTAATTCATTTGAAATTTTTAAAATTTTTATTTTAGGATGAGATCATGTTTTGAAGTGTGTAATTTTTATCAGTGACTTTAAAGGGAATTCATGTTGACTAACTCCAATGAAAACATCTATAATAATCAAATAAAACTTTCCAGAAAGCCTTAAGATAGAATTAGGCACACATACACACACACACACACACACACACACACAAAGCATTAAAAAAAAAAAAAAAAAGAATAATCTACTATTTCTTTTTAAGGCATCTTATTTGACCGCAACTCTTTTGAAGCACTACTCAGACACACTAAAATATATTCCTTCTACAAACTAACCACTTCTCTTTTTTCCTAAAGCCACAATTTCCTTTCTACCTGTTAATAATGTCAAAGTAGTACATAGTTCCATATTTGGAATACACAGATAGGCCATCATTCCAAAATGAATGAAATAGAATAGCAAATCAACTGAAAATTTGACTTGCTATATATTTGTTTTTCATATGAGGAGTCCTCAGAAAAGGTTGGTCATCAATTAAAATCCCAAATCCATTTCAACAATTTTTATGACATTTCATCTGCATGAGGAAAGATTAAAAAAAAAAACTTTATAAGTACCTGTGTCCATTCATTAGTTTGAGGATCGTACGATTCCATAGTGTTCAGGTATGTTTGACCATCGTATCCACCCACTGCATATAGTTTGTCACCAAGGAGACACACACCAACAGCATCTCGAGGCATGCTCAGTGGAGCCACCATTGTCCATGTGTCAGTTTTAGGGTCGTACCTACATAAGAAGAAACGGAACTGATTGTCTGTCCAGTGAGAAGACAAATGATTTATTATGATCCATATTTGAATTATAGTCTGTCTTTGGGAGAGAAAAAAAAACAACATTAGAACTCTATTCAAAATATTTTTTAACAACAGAAAGAAAACTTCTTTATGTTGATCAGCAATTCTTGTTAACATTTCAGAAAATAATATGTAATTCATCATACAAAGTACCATAAAATGAAATATAAGGGAGAGATCATAAAATCAGAATTTGTATATATGTATTAAATATATACATATAGGGTAGGATATTTTTGTTAATAAAAATATTCTTTCTAAAATGAGACTAAACTATACATTAATTTCTAAAATTGTATTAAACTATATTCTCAGCAAGAAAACCTTCTTAAGGGTTCATGGATAATTTTAATTGTTTTAGAGTTGAATTCTCCTCCTGCTACTTGTTCAAGTGAAGATAATAGTACTGTTTTCATATTTATGTGATCTCTTGCAGTAAGACATTAATCATAGAACTTTTGAAACTAAAAGTTAAATTCTCCTTATGTAATGTTACCTACTTAGAACGTAAATATTTAGTGTAAGTTGTCAATTTAAATTTTTATTATCAATTAGTTTCAGAGGCAAACTCATTGTATTTATATTCAACAGCTATTGCCAATTAAAATTGCATCATCTTCTGATGATACCTGTCAATTGGTTGCTCTGGATGTCTGGAGCATTAGTTTAAACTTGATATCTCATTTTCAGATGACTAATGTTACCAGAATGCTACTATACCAAAAGTAACATAAGAAAAATATATAATGGACCAGTCCCTGACTGGAGTGTTTTGTGATAAAGTGATGAATAGACAATGTGCAGAGCACCCCACAAGGAATAATGCCATCATATGGGAATGCCAGCCCACATAGATCCCAGGATCCCAGACAGACTTGTTGTGAATAACAAAATTCAGACTTCTTTTACTTCTTGGAACTATCTGCTTTTCCTTTTTTTTTTTTCCTTTTCCCTTGGTCACTATCCAGAATTTACAAAGATCTAAAAATTGTTACTAAAACCACTATTGACAACATGTCTTAATGTACCACCTTTCAAACTACCTGTGCTCAATTGGTACTTGTAAGAACATTGTTTTCTTGTTTACTAGTATTCCCATTGGTTAGTATTAAAAAATAAAACAAAATAAAAACACCTTCCTGTTTCCAGATACCTCATTCTAAATTGATCTACAGTAACCTAAAAACACAGAAGCTATAACTGTAAAATTTAACTGTCTTTTCACCTTTAAACACTTCCAAACGATCCCATGTTCCTCAGGACAATACAATACATAGCCTCATTTTCATGCTGTAAGACCATTACTTTGGCTTGCTGCAATAGAAACCACAAGTTATTTCAGATTATTTGAATTAAAAGAAATATTATTGCCTTTCATTATTTTTGAAGGGCATATTGGGGAGCTAAGGAGAGACTTAGAACCAATAACGACTGTGGAAAAAATAACTTGTTTAAGAGAAGGAAGCTGGAATTAAGCTAAGACAGAAATCACTTTCTATCACTTGACTTCAGGTTTCTGCTTATAAATGGATGTACCTACAAATATAACTATAGCCAATGTTACACTCTGCTTTGTTTGCTTTGTTCCTAACTCTCAGTTATTTTCCTGTGTCTGCCACTCAATTGTGGTATTGTAATTTAAAGAAGTGTTGATTTAAAAGTATCATCAGTTCTGTTTCTCTCTTTCTCTTTCCAGAAAATATTTGGCATTTTGTGCAATTAAATCAGAACTTGAGCTAGGTACTCCTCCCACTCCACTCCCCCTCAAGATTAACTTTCCTAATACTTTATTTTAAGGTGCTTCCCCAAGAGAAATCTAAAATCCTCTGTTGCCTTAACACTGCACTGAAGTTGTTATTGCTTCAGAGAAGGAATGAAAAAAGCGACATCTTGAACACAGAAGCTACTAGAACTAGTCAATACGTAATACTAAGCAAATGGTACATCCGATATCATGCTACCCTCCCCTGCATCATCTCCCCTACTCCAGTATTTCCTTTTACATTACCTCTCTATATACAGATAGAAATGTAGCAACTCTAGCTCCAAACATATTTTCAAGGGGTTCAAATGGCATTTGCCAGCTTGCAGAAGATTGCCCTGCACAGCAGACTATAGTCTGCTCAGATGAGGACCCTCTCCCATATTTTAAAATTGACTCTGTAATGCAGAAAATAGTTACAATTAGTTTTCTCACAGAGAAGCAAATCAAGAAATACAGACTGAGCAGAGCTCTCATCTGAATGAAGAACTGGGTTCAAGTGCTTGCTACAAGAACCTATATTTTTAATTATACAGCCACTGTATATTATGCAGCAACAGCCCTTAGAGCAAAATCCAGCCAAAAGCCAAAGCAGTAATCTATAAATCATGTTCTCTCTTGCATTCCTGTCCTCTTTCGCTCATGAATCTTTTAACTTTCTGCAAGATGGTTATTTGCTGCTTCAGAGTATATGGAGAATAAGTTCCCTCTGCACATCTTTCTGTGTCTGTAACCTTATAATTGACACAGTCTTGAGACTTGAGAAGTGCTCCTCAGTTACCTCAGGCTGAGAAACACTGAAGCCAACTTCTTTATTCTTGTACAAGTCCTTTAACTACTATATTGTATAAAAATAGGTGTCAAACCTCTTTCTCCTACTTCTTTAATGGACAGCATTAGCTATAAATTTATTTCTTTGGATAGCTGAGTTCTGTCCTTATGTGTTCTTGTAGTCTGATATTTCTTAACCAGAAGTTGATAATGGTATGGAAAGTAGTTGTAAATATGCTCAACAAAAGAGAAAATTCCAGGCTTTTTGGTACTAAGGCTAATGATAGTAACATGCCTTTAAGTATTTCAGTTATTCAGCTCTTCAGTAAGCAAATTGTATGAATACGGTTAGATGTCCTGCCTTACATTTAAAATTGTGATTTAGAAAAAATATATATTTCAACAGCAATGTTTTAGTGTTTTTCTTCCTATAAGTGCTTTTTCACACATAATAATGACACATAATAATGACCTTCTAACTAAGCAGTAACAGAATTGCTTCTCTTTAATCTAACCTTGGTTAAATCGCTCTGGACAGATAAATAATTTGTCAACAAAAAATTCTACTCATCCACTAGCTACTTTTCTTACTGACTTTATTGGAACTTCTTGGAAGGTAAGGCAGTAAGATGCTGTGTTCAACTTCTTATATCTAGGATGTCAGTAAAATGACAGTGATGTTCATTTTACCTTCTTCCTTATTCATTTTCATTGTTTTATTTTACTCTCTTTCCAAGTGATATAATTGCATAATTATATAATTATAATTAATACCTAGAATTATTATAAATACTTATTAAGACTTGATAGAGACTTGCCTGAATATATGAAAGTGAAATGTACATGTTATAAAAGCCCCCCAAAATGTTCATTTTGAATGCAGCACCATATTCCTTTAGATGAAAGACTTTCACAACCCGCTTTAGCAATATGCATTGTATCTTCACTTGCCTAAAGGCAATAAACTTTAACAGGATTTTTGATACAGTACCCTTGAATTGCAAGGGCCAAGGTGAGCTGCAGAAGTGGACAAGGTAAATATAAATGACATTTTTGGACTTTCTTTTCTTCCTTTCTTTCTTTTTTTTTTTTAATAAATAGATAACCAGGGGCTAAATAAAATGCTTACTACACAATACAGTCAACAAAATAGAACTACTCAAGAGCTTGTTTTTTTTTTTTTTTTTAATTGCCAGGAAAATGCCTGAGTTTCCTTATATTCTTTATTCAGCTAAATACTCTCTGTATATTTCATCTGGATAATAACTAGATATGCTCTAGAGTGTAAAAGGTAACAAAAAAAGTTACTGAATGTGGAAAGAAATCAATCTATCTGAAATCATCAAGGTAAGAAGTCGAAAAACTATACATCGCTTGCTTATTTTTTCAATAAATGCCACCTCTGGAGTTATACTTGGTAAAGACTGCTGCTTTATAAAATTTGCCAAAATGTATCAAAAATTGCATAGTTCTTAAATTGAACTAGTGATTTTACCCTTAAGGAGAATACAAAGTTATATTTTACCAGCTTGTAAAGTACAGAAAAACATAAGTATTGTTTTCCTTTGTGATCAATCCATAGGAAGTCCTTTCCAATCACATCAACTTCAAAAGAGTTCAAATTGGGAGTCCTAATTATTGTTGAGCAGAATTTTAACAATAGCATTCATAAACACATATCTGTTCTCACTAAATTTCCATAATCTTAGATTTTTTTTGAATCATTATGTGTTTTGACAGTTTCCAGAAGAAAGTTGGTATTTGAATAAAACACATTCTCGCAAGCTCTATCAGAATGATAAAATGATTGAAGTAACAAGGAGAAAAAAGTTTTGCTCTTGAGGAAGAAAGGAAACATAATTAAAAATGCCTGATGTAATTTGATGTCTGCTATTGGCAGAAAGTAAAACTTTCAGATTTTCAGATAAAACTTAAAATTTAGCAAGCCATTCCTGTGTGCCAAAAAATGAGCCGGAGGGGAAGAAGACCCTCCTGACTGAATAGGGAACTATTTCTGAGGCTCCAGGGAAAAAAGAAGAGAGTTTACCACCTTTGGAAGAAGGGGCAGGCAACTCAGGAAGAGTACAAGGAAGTCACTAGGGTATGTAGGAAGGAAATAAGAAAGGCGAAAGCTGGGATGGAGCTCAATCTAGCCACCACTGTAAAAGACAACAAAAAATGTTTCTACAAACAGATTAACAAGAACAGAAGGGCCTCCATCCTTTATTGGATGTGACAAGGAACATTTTCACCAAGCATGAGGATAAGGCTGAGGTACTTAATGCCTTCTTTGCCTCAGTCTTTAACACCTGGATCACTTATCCTCAAGGTACTGGCTCCCCTGAGCAGGAAGATACCATAAGAGTGTCCTCCCCCCAGAATAAACCCCCCATAATCCTGGAGGAAATAGTCAGTGACCTGTTATTCCACTTGGACACTCACAAATCTATGGGGCCAGACACAATCCACCAAGGGTTCTGAGGGAGCCGGCGGAAGTGCTCACCAAGCTGCTCTCCATCATCCTGATAAGCAGGGGTCAGCAGGGGAGGTTCCAGGCAACTGGAAACTTGCAAATGTGACACCCATTTACAAGAAGGGTTGGCTGGAGCATCCAGAGAACTACAAGCCTGTCGGTCTGACCTCGGTATCAGATAAAGTTTTGGATCAGATCATCTTAAGGGTCATCACACAGCATGTTTGTGACAACATGGGATCAGGCCCAGCCAACATGCTTTTATGAAAGGCAGGTACTGCCTTACCAACTTGATCTCCTTTTATGACCAGGTGACTCTCCTAGTGGAGAGGTAAAAGCTGTGGATGTGGTCTACTTAGACTTCAGTAAGGCCTTTGACACAGTCTCCCACTACATTCTTTTGGAGAACCTGGCTGCTCATGGCTTAGACAGATGTACTTTTACTGGGTGAAGAACTGTCTGGATTACTGGGCCCAGAGGTCATCCAGTGGTGGTGAATGGAGGTAAATGCAGCTGGTGACCGGTCACGTACAATGTTGCCCAGGAGTCGGTGCTGGGCCCGGTCCTCTTTAATTTCTTTTCCTATGATCTGGATGAGTGGATTGAGTGCACCCCTCAGCAAATTTGCAGACAACACCAAGCTGGGAGGAAGAGTGGATCTGCTTGAGGGTAGGTTGGCTCTTTAGAGAGATCTGGACAGGCTGGATTGATGGGTGGAGACCAACTGTATGAGATTCAACAAGTCCAAGTGCCAGGTCCTGCACTTTGGTCACAACAACCCCATGCAGCGCCACAGGCCTGAGGCAGAGTGACTGGAGAGCTGAGCGGCAGAAAAGGACCTGGGGGTGCTGGTCAACACTCGATTGAACGTGAGCCAGCAGTGTGCCCAGGTGGCCAAGGAAGCCAACGGTCTCCTGGCTTATATCGGGAACAGTGTAGCCAGCAGGACCAGGGAAGTGATCGTCTCCCTGTACTTGGCGCTGATGAGGCTGCACTTCAATACTGTGTTCAATTTTGGGCCTCTCACTACAAGAAAGAGATAAAGGTGCGAATGTCCAAAGAAAGGCAGCAAAGCTGGTGAAAAGGCTGGAGCACAGACCTTACGAAGAGCGGCTAAACGTCTAAGGGAGCTGGGGTTTTTTAGTCTGGCGAAGAGGAGACTCAGGGGAGACCTTATTGCTTTCTACAACTACCTGAAAGGAGTAGTTGGGGCAAGGGTGGATCTCTTCTCCGAAATACCTGCCTATAGGAAAGAGGAAATGGCCTCAAGCTGCACCAGGGGAGGTTCAGGTTAGATATTAAGAAAAATTTCAACATGGAAAGAGCGATGAGCAGCTC